TCTTCCAACAAGCCAAAGTCATAATCAGGTCTCAAGAAACTGTAGTCATAATAACCCGCTTCCAGGTCTGCCTCCTTCATGTTATTGAGACGCACAGGCAAATGACCACTCTGCCACTCATCAGTTCCTTTTTCTTCAAACATGGAGCTTCCACAACCAGAATTGTTCAAACCCTCCTCATCTTCAAAGTTTCTCTCTATAGAAGCTTTATATTCCTCATTTTGAGAGGGATCAGATGTACAAAATCCCAGAATATCAGAAGTCATTTCCTCCATCTGCTTCTTCCCAAAGGAAGCTTCACTTTCAATGACACCAGAATCCTCATACCTAGCCCCTGGATTCCATTCCTCCTCTGTTTCTTCTTCGGTCTTCACCAGAACAGCCTCGTGTTTCTTCTCTGTTTCCTCATTAGAGCATGTGGGTTCTTCATCTTCTTCTCCTTCCATGTTATAATCAGGAAAGTTCAGCCGAGCACAAGGACCGTACATGGCTCTGGCTGCTTCGTCATAAGCAAGGGCAGCTTCAAGTGCAGTAGAGAAAGTGCCGAGCCATAAGCGATTCGGTTTCTTGTTTCCCACAGTAGTATGATTTCCAGTAATGGGTTCACGAATTTCTGCCACCCATTTGCCCCAAATCCTCTGCCTCACTCCTCTGTAATTGCAGTCTGAGTTTTGAGGCCCACCTTTGCCTCTCATGCAACCCTTTCTCGAGCCTTTTGCTGGAACTCTGAGACTCGCTTTCTTTGCTCCATTTTTAACAAAATCAAGCTCACTGTTGTACTTCTTCCACTTCTCAAGAGTGCCTATGACAGAGTCGCTCTCGCTTCTTCGTCTCTTACGCGATGTCTTGTTCCTACAGTCACCACCCATAACAGAAGTCTGTTTAGAATTCTCAAAATTGATGCTCATACTAGGACGAGAAGAAAACAAAGATCCTATTCAGGGCGAGGAGATGACCAAGTATTAAAATATTAGCTTTTAAGTACAATTTGAAAAGTGATGATGAGACTCTTCTCTGGAAGTACTGGTGGTTCATAGATACTGGCGAATTACAAATTCAAGAGAGAACCATGCTCAGCTTCTATCTTAAATCACTGACAAGATTTTCATAACAGACTTTTTCATAAATCATTTGCTAAAATAGTAAAATTTCATCGTCAAAATCGTTTACACATTGAAGGAAACTATTTACACAGTTTCATAAATCATTTGCTAAAATTTCGAAACAGATCAAGCTATATGTCCAAGATAAATAGTCAAAGCTCAAAATTGCTATTCGTAGTTTCATATCACGCATCAACCCAGAAAGTACTCTCTATCTTCCAGAAATCATAAATGGATCCATTTTCATACGGAAACATGAAAGCTCATGGAAGAACTAGTTAGACAAAGCACAAATTAAACACCGGAAAGTTAAGAGGAAAAGGGAATGAAGAGAAAAACTCGGACGAAATGAGAAGAAGATGAAGAGAAAAACTTAAGAAATGAAAGAGAAGTTGAGATTTCAGGAGCATGGAGTGATGAATCACTTTAGATGAACGGAGAGAAAACATACCCACGAAGGGTATCAGTCGTCATGCGCCTTCAAATTCTGCAGAAGTTGAAGATGTGAGCTTTGTGTTTGCGAATCTGTATTTGAGGGTTTTGAGAGGGTTTTGTATTACTGTGCTCCAGAGATGTCATTACTAACGTCATCTTTGACGTGGGAACCAAGAAACTGTTCAAGTGGGGAGGGTGATATCCTTCTCATATCCTCAATGCACCGGGAGATGACGTGGCAGATTTAGAATTGCGAAAATAATTGCTACTGCCACGTGGCAGAAAGTCCCTCCGGAGACTTTACACTCATCCGCGGAGCTTCCTTCGCCATGAAGGGCTCCCTTTTTATCCATATACGTCTTCTGATTTTTCTCAAATCATTTCTTATATAAATAATTACATAAAACAAAAGAAGAAAAGGTACCACAAGTGGTTTTTTTTAAAAAAAAATATAAAATGGTAATTCAAAATTAGGGTAATGTTTTGGAAAGCTCACCTGCAAAACAAATCATGATTTTAAAATTATTTTACAATATATGTAAAAAAAAATTTATCTTAATTTATGTAAAAATATTTTTCTAAAATTTTTTTTACCAAGTCTGAGTTGATTTCCACAAGTTGTTTTTGAAAATTAAAATTTTTAATGTATGGATTAACTATTGTTAAATATTAAAATTATTTCGCGAAATATTGACTTAGTTTATAAATAGCGATTGGAAAATTAACGATCGGGAGACATAAAGTTCCACGCCTAAAGAAAAGGAGGAGGAGGCATGAGAAGCAATGAATAAACTAATTAGTTAATGATATCGGCACTAACTAAATCAGCCCCTAATTATACGTTTAACACTCCAAATTATTTTTCATATGTATTCAGTATCTTGAAATATTTTATGATTTACCTAGCATCTTAAAATACTTTTTCAAGTGCATCTAGCACATTAAAATATTTTTTGGTGCATCCAGCATCCTAAAATATTTTTAAAGTATATCCAGCATCATGAATTATTTTTTATTTTTTTAAGTGCATCCAGCACCCTAAAATATTATTTGATGCATCCAACACAAAGAAAGAAATAATTGAGGGTGTTGAATACACTTTAAAAATATTTTAAATTACTCCATACACCACATAATATTTTAGAGTGCTGAATGTACTTGAAAAAATATTTGGGGTGTTGAATACATATTAACCCATTATTATTAGAGGCCACTTAGATATTAAATCACCGTGAAGCAGTTAAGTTTTGCAAATTTTTCTTAAAAAGAAATTTGGTCGAAATATCGATTTTTTGAGGCATTCAAGTTTCAACTTGCAATATTAAAGTCATGAATTTCGGCTGAGGAGAGGGGAGAAAAATCCAGATAAATTTCATCATGCATCACCTCATCACCTTTTTATTTTTAGTTCTGATTTTTTCTTATCATTTTCCAGGTTTGTTTTGCCAACTTCGACTGATCTTACGTTAGATTTTAGTGAAGTATGAGCTTTGGGTAGTTTCATGAAAGGATTGATGTTCCTCAATAGCATTGCTATGATTAAAGATGATTTGATTTAAACAACGTCTGGAATATGCGTTGCAACATGAAAAACAAAGTCATACATATGGAATATTCAGTGCAACGTACCTTCAGAAAATAAAAAATAAAAAAGGCCATTGACTGATCATTTGATGGCGATTGATTTATACTCACTGAGGAAGGTATTATGTAATGTTATTGATATACTACCTTTGACCCTAATTATAAGATCTGGTTGACTAGTTTGGAGAGATTAAGAAACTTAATTAAATTAGTTATTTGTAATGAATAAATATTATTTTTTCTAAAATACCCTTACAAATCAAATTTGTTATCTAGGACTATCATTATTAAAGGATTATCTTGAAAAAAAAAAGATAAATATGAAAGATAAAATAGATTGAGGTCTTATATTTAGGATCAAAATAAAAGTCAAATAAGGTTTTGTATTAATAACCAGAGGTAATATTTTTTTTTGGGGTCAAAATGTAATGTTATTGATCACATCACACCAACAAATTCAAAGAGTTCATATAAGAATGGCCCTTGTTGGATCCATTACCTAGATTTTACAATTTGTTTTAAAGCTCAATAAGATGAGTTTGAATTGGCTTGAATCATACTACTTGGTACTCCTAAATACAACATACTTTGTCATTGAAATAACTAATAACAATTTGTTTTACTTTTTGGTTTGAAATTGATAGAAGGCGTTGAGAGGGGGAGGGAGGAGGGATTTCTTGGACAGAAAGTTCCACTGAAATCATCATCTTATGGCCTTGAGAGCGTATATTGAAGATTTATTCACAGTTTAATTTCTACAGAGAGAAGTTCAACATTTCTACAAGATTCATTCACAAGGTAAGGTTTTTGTGCTTTTTACGAACTGAGGTAAACTTCAATTTGTGACTTGTTCTCAAGAAAGATAGCCAACAATTAATTTGGTTGAGAGAGAATTGAGATCATGTACCACACAACAGTATAGAGAAGGATAATCCATATAGTTTGATTTAATTTTGATTTTGATTCTTATAGTTTTAACTCGTTGGCTTTGGTCATATAGTTTCATCAGAACTTGATCTAAGTTTAAATATTGAGACCAAAACTAAAACTTATTAAATCAAAAAATTATGAAACTATAGAACTAAAACCAATAATTTGAAACTACAAAGATCAAAACCAAAATTTTATCAAACTATAAAGATAGACAATGATATTAACCCCAAAAAAAAAAAATTTACTACTGCCATATATATCAGATACAACAAGATATCCATACATTGATGAGCCTCCTCTACTGCTTTTTGTTGGTACTGCACAAACGTGTGTCTTATTGTTCATGAGATTTTGTGAGGATGGTGCAACAGCCTCAACTACCTTTTATTCTTCTTTCCTTCTATTTTTATGATTCCTAAAGGTCGTATTTGGCGCGTTAGAATCTTCATTTTTCAGCAGTTGAATTCTGGAAATGGGTTCATAGCTCACATGTCAATAGCCTCAATCTTTAAAATTGAAGACGAGTTTGATGTCAAGTATCTGTTTCTTGGTTTTGTTATGTGAACTTGATAAAACTTCTAGTGTCTCCTGCTATGGAGGGTGCTTGGATTTGGGTTGGTTTCCTATCAGAGGAGAAGAACAATATGCCGCCATCCTATTAACAATGATAGAAGGATACATATAAGTAGGCTTAAAACTACATCATATATCATGGCCTTTATCTATTTTTTTCATTTTAAAAATTCTGCTCAAAGGAAAAGATACGGACAAATGAATTTGACAGTACATCTTAATGCAAAAAGAAAGCTAAAAAATTTCTTTTCTTTTTTTTTTAAAAAGCATTAGAGCATACATATAAGTAATCTCTACATCGTATACTTCAAAACTTTGACGAGTAGACCTTCCACATCAAATCAAGTATTCTCACACTTAATACCAAAAGAATCAAATGGAAGTATATAGTTTATTCAGAAAATTTAGTACATATAAAAGAATCAACCATTAATGGCTTCTATATACATAACAAAATAAATAAACCAATAAAAGAATAAAAGAAACCAAGAACATCATATTTCTTTCTCTCCTATGATAGTGACTAAAATCTATTAATGAAATCGACTGAGAACTCTGCGACGTTTGCTCCATCATCCTCTGAAGCGGCAGAAGCTAAGTCCAGCTTGATCTACATATGCTCCAGAATCTGCTGAACGGAAATCTGCCAAGTCTCGCTTGATATCTATCTTTCTCCCCTACAATAAAGAAACTGAAAATTCTCCCTGTGATATATCAAATAAGAACAAATCTCAAGTTTGCTCAGTTTCTGGGGCTTTTTGCTCGGTTTCTGGGGCTTTTGCTCCATCATCATCCACAGAAGAATCTGGCTTGATCTCCTCCAGTTGCTGAAGAATCTGCTGAACTTCAGGCCTAGCAGCTGGGGATGGATCCACACAGTGAAGAGCTAATTTCAGGGTATTAAGCAGTTCATCGCCAATAGCTGGTGCATCCCTCATGAGCTCCAAATCAAACACTTCATTAGTCCATTCTTCCTTCACTATGGATGCAACCCACTGTGGCAAGTCCAAGCCATTGGTTGGTTCACCAGGAGGTTTTCCAGTTAAGAGCTCCAAAATGATGACACCAAGACTATAGACATCAGTTTTTGTGTTTGGTTTCTTGGTCTTTGTGAGCTCTGGTGCATTATAACCAAGGTTTCCTGCAGTGGCTATGATGTTGCTGTTTGCTGACGTGGTCATTAGCCTTGAGAGACCAAAGTCTGTGATATGGGCATTTGTCTGCTCATCCAAGAGTATGTTGCTTGAGGTGAGATTTCCGTGTACTATGTTCTCTTCTGTATGCAGGTAGCATAGGCCGCGGGTTACTCCAAGGGCTATTCTCATCCTTGTTGGCCAGTCTATGACAATTTCCGGGCCCCTAGCTGGATATGGAACAAACACATCAGTATCGGAGTTCACAAATAATGCAAAAATTGTTGTAATCTTTGTCCTAATATCTTAGAGCAAGTATTTTAGTACAGAGGAACAAGAAAGTGACCAACCCCGAGTGAAACACGATGAAAAAAAATATAAAGATTTCACCCACTTCAAATTTTAACTTTGCTCATATCATCAAACTGATTATACATTGGCTGTAATGTCTAAGATACATAGATTCAATATTCTATTAAAAATTCATAAGATCCACTCAGAAATTATGGGACCCTATAACTTGTATTAAAATACTCAACATATCTTTCATGTGGTGATTAATATCCTCCATCCTGTACCAAAATAATATTCAAGGTAACAAGGGAAAATGAGAGAACAGTAACTTTGCAAGATCTCCTAATGGCTACGTAGTACTTACCGTGGAGGAACGATGCTAGACTTCCTTTGGTCATGTAATCAAAGACAAGAAGCTTCTCTCCCTTTGGTCCCATGTAGTATGCTCTAAGTGCCAGCAGATTTGGGTGTCTAATTTTACCGAGTGCAGCAACCTCAGTTTCGAACTCCTTCTGCCCTTTGGTTGTCTTCTCCCTCAACCTCTTCACAGCAACCTGGTTCCCATCCTCTAGCGTTGCCTTGTATGCTGTTCCATAAGCGCTTTTTCCCATAATCTCAGCAGTAGCGCACAAGAGGTCATCAGCCGTAAAAACAAATGGGCCATCAAAGTGAACTAGCTTCCCTCCTGCTTCACCTCCTGATTCAACTTCACCTCCTTTTCCTGCACTTCGTGCAGTACCAGCAGCAGCGGATGTTTTGGCAATATTCCCATTCTTTTCTTTAGCGGCTGCTCTCTTCCTGACCAAACAGCAAAGCAAAACGCAGCAAAGTAGAAGAAGAATGACAAGAAGAGCACCTGCTACTATGAGGATTATGTCCTTGGTGCTTAGTTTACGGTGGTGTGGGTTCAATGAAGGTTTTGGGGATGGAGATGGAGGATTCTGAGGTGGGGGTGAAGAAGAAGGGCATGGTTTTGAAGGGACATACCCACAGAGTTGGAGATTCCCAGCAAAGGAGCTAGAATTGAATCTTTTGGAGAGGAGGGATGGAACAAGGCCAGAGAGATTGTTGTAAGAAACATTAAAAGAGGTCAAATTTGCAAGCTTGGTAAGTGAATCTGGAATCTCTCCCACGAGTTTATTTTCAGAGAAGTCAATCTGCGTGATCACTGAGAAGTTCCCAATTGTTGATGGGATTTCACCCTCAAGCTTATTATTATGCAGGTTAAGCACAGTAAGGTTTTTTAACTGGTCAAAATTATCTGGGAAGCTACCATTAATGCCATTGTTTGATAGATCAAGAGTTTGAAGCCTCGAAAGCCCGCCGAGCTCACTTGGAATAGACCCTTTCATCTGGTTATGGCTAAGAGAAATCTCTTGGAGAAATCCCATCTCACTCAAAGAAACCGGAATGGTTCCAGAAATGAGATTGTGATCGAGGGTCAAGATTTGAAGATTGTAAGTTTGGTTTTTTCCCATTCCACTACCCCATGAATCTGGGATAGAACCAGAAAGATTGTTGTGTTGAAGAGCAAGAAAAGTTAAAGAAGGAACCATAGTGAAAGTTCTAGGAATAGAGCCAGAAAGAGAGTTAAAGCTCAAATTGAGTCTGTATAATCTAGTAGAGTTTACTAAGCTAGGAGGGATAGTACCTGAGAGCGAGTTATTGCTAAAATCAATAGACTGAAGCAGTGGGCTATTCCTGCCAATGGAAGGAGGGACAGAACCTGAAAGCCTATTGTTGAAGAGGTAGATTCCTCTGAGATTAGGAAGGAAGCCAAGAGACCAAGGGACAGGACCACCTAGTACATTGTCGTGTAGACTCAGCTTCCTAAGAGCTTGAAGCGATCCGATTTTCTCGGAAATTCGACCACCCAATCCCCTCCATGGAAGCTGGATTGCAATAACCTGTCCCTTCACGCACTTGATTCCTGCCCACCCACCAGAACAAGCTCCAATTCCACTGTCATTCCAGCTCCTCAGAACTCCTCTGAAATCGATGAATTCTCGCTTTATAGCTCGCAGAGCCTGATAATCGGCTTGTGTAACAATCACACCATCCCACGAATGGCCTCCTGAGACTGGTTGAAACGTAAATGCCAGAACTTGAAGAACCATAATGAGGGAGACGAAGAAACGAGAAACGGGTCTTCCTTCATTTGTGGGAAACTTTTCGGCAAACCGATTATTGTTTCCCATGCAGGAGGAAGATGTCTTTTTCGTTTAAAGGGTGGTGGGAACAACAATGGATAATCAAAGGACAGTCTCTGTTTATAGCTTCTCAGTTCTAAAGCTGTGTTTCAGAAAGCACAGTGGAGGAAGATGAAGAAGATGCAAGTGAAAAAGGAAGAGCGAGAGGGTTAGAAAAAGAAGAGAAGGATCGTGATGAGTGCATGTGAGGGGTGGGGTTATCGGTTTTTGGAGGGTCAGGGAGAGAGAAGGAAGAAGGAATCGGTCAAAGCTCGCGTTTTTCTTAAATCGCAACGGCTAGTTTTACCTGGATACATTATCTGCGTATAACGGCTTGGTCTCTCTGAGCAAATGGGGCTCAGTTTTCCAACGGCTACATTGCATAATGTATATTCTGAAGATGACCCCAATATGCAATTACCAAAACAGCCTTGAATCGGCAAGTTTATAGGATACTTTCTGTGGACCAAACTGGAAAATTAACGTTCAATTTACTCAGACTTTGTCGAGGATTTATGATGCTAAATATTAAAGAAGCTTTTTTTTGGGCCAACAGAAAGAAGCTTTTCAAGAGATCTAATCATATGTCACCGGTAAAAATATTACACTACCTCCTATCCTATAGTTCTTATTTAGTCTATAAACAAAATCTTATACTAAGGATCGGAGATAGTATTTTCATAAAAGGTATGTTATATATATTTTTACTGAAGAATTTGATATAAACACTTAAAAATTAAGGTTAAATGTTACGCAAAAAAATTTTTTTTTTTAAGGAGTTAATTAGATTAAATGGGATCTCTTCCAAATAAGTTGAATTTAATTATTTTAGAAAATTTTCTAACTCAAAATTAGACAGTGTTTAACAGCTCCTTGAAATATTTTAATATTAATATCATAAATATAATGTAATATTTCTGATAAACATCATATCTGTGTGTCTCTATATATAATTGTTACATATATAAAAAATATTTTGGCAGTGTCTCATGATTTGGCCCAATTTTTATTGCGGGTGGCAGCTTATGCAAGAGAGTTGCTTTTGATTTCAGTTTATGTAATTTTGTGGAAGGTGTTGAGGGGACACAAAAAGGTCTGGAAATTGAGAAAGTTGTGTTTATGGTGACATGTGCGTTCTATAAGGAGGCATCAACTTGACACAGACTGCCCACCATAACCTTTCATAAGGCATCGGTCCCCGGATCATTTTTTTTTTATTACATTATTATTCATGAAAATCAATCAATCAATTAATTAATTAATTTTGCTTTAAGAAATTATTCACGGGTCTCTCTCACAACCAATTTCCCGCAACTACTTAATTTGGCCTCTTTCTCAACGCTTTTTAGGTTCATATTTGGAATTGGAATAACTAGAGAAGTGAAAATGAAGGAAATGATGATTAAAGAATAATAATAATAATAATAATAATCTATAATGAGATAATGAGAGTAATATGATGTTAAACTTTTTCTCCTAAAGTTAATTTGCTACCTCATATTCAAACACTATCAGATTCCCAGTTTTTCTTTTTGTTTTTTGTTTAGCCGATCATCAATTGAAACATAACAAGCCATATCCAACAAATAAAGTCACATTCATGAAATTTTCTTTTGCAGATCAAGTTTAAAATAACTGAATAAAATATGACTAACTACCTAAATCAATTTATATATATACTACCTCATGTCTTTAATATAAGCTGAAAAACTAATTTGAAGAGAATAAGAAAATTAGTTAATTATAATAAATCTGTATTGATTTTTCTAAACCACCCTTTTAATTATATATGTTGAAAATATCTCTGAGTAGAATTTCTTACAATCAATAAGAATATTTTAAAGAAACCATTACAAATTTGAGAGACAAAATGAATAAAGATCTTATATTTAAAATCAAATCCAATCTCAAACAAGTTCACGCATAAAAGACCGGAGGTAGAACATAATTCCAATGCTCCTGCATGTTTAGTCATTTTGACACAATCTAGTGACTTAATTTACCTTAAAAAATCAATGTATCAGGTGTCATCTAAAACAACTAGTTTGTAAGCCATAAAAAATGCAACTTGTCTCAAACTTGTAAAGCCTAGTTTTTCTCATAAAATTAGCATGCAAGAATTTAAATATAATTTTCAAGTGATCTTTCTTGGGACAAAACTTAGAAGAGATGAATGACATGAAGAGGATGCAGGCTTTAATGCTGAGCGGAAAGGGCAAGATTTATGCGCGGCCTCCTGCCAAACCGGCATTTTTAGTTACCAATACGTGTTGAAATATGGCTACTACCAACAGCAATATCTGTTTTACTTTTGGCCAGCAACATTTTTTTTTCTAGCAATTGACTAACATTTTGATACGTGAGTTGTGTGAAATAATCGTTCTCGTTTTTATTCCTTCTGTTTGCCTAGAATTCCAGCAAACTACTGTGCACCTTTATAACGAGACCAATCAAAATATAATGGCTTCATTTAAGTTCCATCCAGAAGGCAGTGGCAGCCCCGCATCGTTATTTCATGGCTCTTGGTTCATAATAACAAACAATGAGCATGTTCTATTTTCATGGAATGAATGGAGGCAATCATGCTAGAACATTAGCAACAATGGAAGCTAGAATGTTAGATACCTATATCTTTTATACATCAATCACAAAACAAGACTTCTTGTAGCTCGGAATCAACAACAGAACCATCACAAAGTATTCTTCTAACTAAATTGAACTTTGACTGGCAAGTTACATTTAAAATCTCTACTCCATAGTATCCCAGACACCACGGAGCACAGCGCCAAACTCTCACGGTTGCACCGTAATATTTAAAATCCTCATATGTCTATTGTATTCACAAACTGAAGGTCATCCAAGAAATCACACAACGGTATTCTATAATCACATACGGGTATGCTGAATCCTGGTATCGATGTCAAGATCGACAAGATGTTCTAATCAATTTTTCCATGATATGGGGGGAAAAGCGAAAGGGATGTCTTCACCCCAAGTCTAACTTCTCAAAACAGAAGCCAAAATTGCTCATGCAGGTTCACAGTCACATAGATTCAAAAGAAGAAACAACCAATGCCTTCTCTATTTGACTAGTAAACACATTAGGAACAGTGGTGTAAGCAATCTCAATTGTGAGATCTAAGTAACAACACGGGCAAACAATGCAGAGACGGCACAGTTCGTGATGGAATCCAACGGGCGGCAAAAGCGGCCTAACCATTCCTTGATAATGTCGAGCCTAGCAATAAAAATCAAAAAGATCTATCTAATGTTTGATAAAAGCAAAGAACTAACAATAAAAAAGGAAACTGAAATGTAATCACCTAAGCAACTAGGTAATCCATGTTCCCGTACAGCTATGAAACGAGGTTACAGGCATAATAGATATCTAACGCATGGAGGCATAGACATCTAACACAATTAAGAACATTTGCACAATCTGCTTTAAGAGAGCCAAATTACCAAAATGAATAAAACAATTGAAGTATAGAGATAACAAAACAATTCAAGTATAAAAACTGGTAGATCCACCAACAAGAGTTGCGAATCCTACATGAAACAACACAAAATAACAGAGAACCCTACAAATCTCATGTGATTCACCCTATGTATAGTAAAATTTGTTAATACATTGTCATAGAAGGCAAAAGCATATTTTCTGCGTTTATCTCACTTCCAGGTCCTAACAATGAATTTCACGGATCAGATCAAGACCCCATTACCCTGTTATCCTCCTGGATCTGGATTCACCGATCTGCTCAAACACGTGCAGTGACCGGAGGTACGGAAGAGGGGACAGTGGCATTGGTTGCAGCACCCCGGAGGAATGACAGGAACCCAGTGGTTTGAGAAACCTCCTGTTCATCCAAGAAGAGATCTTCGGGAACCCTGAAGGCACCGTGAGCGCAGACAACAGCCACACCCACCATGAGAGCCGAAACAAGAACAGATCCAACATTGGTAAGAAAGACCACAAACAAAGTGAGGCCGCCCAGGAGCGCCAAGGTCTCGAAATCAGAGAAAGTGCGACCAAGAATGACCAAAGGCTGATCAGAGGGACGGAAGAGGTATAGGAACATCCAGGAAGCGAGCAAGCCGACAAGGACAATAAGAGAGAACGGATTCGTAAGCAGAGACACAGCAAGGATCAGAGCAATCATAGCATAATAATTGACCCGAAAGTAAGAATAATTCTTGCGGATCCGAAGGGTGGCTTCAGAGAAACTCTCGGGTTTCGCAAAGGCCGTACGGTCAACGAGCTCACCCCAAGGACGTCGCTGAGCGAGGCCATTACGGACGGTATCGGAGAGGTGGCCGATGAAGGCACGGAAGGCAGGTGTAGCAATGGGTCCCCCAGATTCAGCCGTGGCGCCACCGGTGGCAGCGGTGGGCTGGGAATTGGAGACGGGGAGGACGGGAGGTGCAACAGAAGCCATTGTTGGGGGTTAGGGATCAACGAAGAGAGAAGAAAGGAGAGATGGATTTAAGGGAATAGCAAAACCAGAAATGGGAATTGAGGAGAAAATGCGAAATTGGGAAAGGAGCAGTGAAATTGAAGGGAAAGAGATAAGAAGGTCGATGGGAAATCTAGAAGACGACGTATTACGAAACTCGGCTTCGTCGTTAAGATTCCACCACCGATAGTCGCATTGGCCTTTTGCTGTGCGGATCTGAGTCAATGCTGGCCACTCGTCGATTACAATGGCACGCGTATTTCCTTCTGTCGTCATTTATATTTCTTCCCGCATTCGACATTTGTTTTATTTTATAATTATAATTATAATTATTATTAATTTTCAAGATAAACATCCAGCCTTCAAATACATATTTTTTACGCTATCAAGCTTTGATTCTTAACAGTTAAGTTTTTGGATCGGTTATTTATATACTCCTCCGGTCCTTATTATAAGACTCAATTTGACTTTTTATTTGGTCCTAATTATAAGACCCAATCCATTTTGTCTCTTATATTTATGCATTTTTTTCCAAGATAATCCTTCTAATAATGATAGTTTTAGCCAATATACTTAATTAGCAAAGATATTTTAGGAATGACAACACTTATTTATTATAAATAACCAACTTAACTTACTTCCTTAATCTCCTCAAATAAGTCAATTGGGTCTTATAATTAGAATCGGAGGAGTATATAAATATATACATTTGAGGTAAACATGTGACTTTCAGATTTATTTATTTTTTTGACATACTTCGATTTGATTCTTCACACTTGAGATTTTGCAACGGTTCTTTATATACATACATATGTATGTATGTATATACCCACATAAATAGATAGATGTATTTATATATTGAAATTAAGGCATGGCTAGGGATATCGAAATTCTAATTCTCATTCTTTTAAGAGACGAGTAGCATTTTAACTAAATGGACCAAACTAGTGAAGGGGGTGCTAAGGTAACAATTCTTAAAAAATAATAATAATAATAAAAAGCATGTACATTATTTCGCAATATTTAAAAATTTCAAACCATACACATCAATTTGAAATTTTTAAATGGGGGAATTTCACTGTAGGACCTCAGAAGGCAAATAATTTCAAAGAGCCCCCAAAACTTTCTGAAACCTCACTGCAGGACCAAGGGACCAATCTGATATTAATTTTTAGAGTGAGATTACAATAATACCCCTCCCTTTTTATTTTATTAAAAAATAAATATTTACCGGAGTTACTGTTCCGGCCACCGGAGGTCGGAGGTCCGGCCACCGGCGCTCAGGTGGCCGCCGTCGGGATCCGGTCACCGGTGGCCGGAACAGTAACTCCGGCGGGACTTCCGGTGGCCGGAGTTTTTTTGTTTAAAACAAAGTGGCCAAGGGAGGGTTTGAACCCAGGACCCCTTGGCACACCAAAAGAGTTGTAACCACCAAGCCAAGCAACCCATTCAATCATAAAATGCAAATAAAACTACATATAACAAAATAAACGCAACAGTTCAAATGTAAGTGAACAAGTGAAATTAGACGATTTACAAGTGAAATTCAGAAATTTGCAACAAAAGTTAGGCAATTTACAAATAACATAATAGAAGTCATAACCCAAAATGCAAGTGTTTAGGTGCAAATGAGCAAGTAAAATTTGAAGATTTACAATAAAAGTTTATGGATTTACAACTCAAATTTGGCAAACACAAGAGAATTCACAACCTAAAATGTAAGTGTTTGAATGTAAATGAACAAGTGAAATTAGACGATTTACAAGTGTAATTAAGCAATTTACAACAAAAATTAGACAATTTACAAATAACATAATAGAAGTCATAACCCCAAATGCAAGTGTTTAAGTGCAAATGAGCAAGTGAAATTTGAAGATTTACAATAAAAGTTTATGGATTTACAACCCAAATTTAGCAAACACAAGAAAATTCACAACCCAAAATGTAAGTGTTTGAGTGTAAGTGAACAAGTGAAATTAGACGATTTACAAGTGTAATTCAGCAATTTACAACAAAAATTAGACAATTTACAAATAACATAATAGAAGTCATAACCTCAAATGCAAGTGTTTAAGTGCAAATGAGCAAGTGAAATTTGAAGATTTACAATAAAATTTTATGAATTTACAACCCAAATTTGATAAACACAAGAGAATTCACAACCCAAAATGTAAGTGTTTGAGTGTAAGTGAACAAGTGAAATTAGACGATTTACAAGTGGAATTCAGAAATTTGCAACAAAAGTTAGGCAATTTACAAATAACATAATAGAAGTCATAACCCAAAATGCAAGTGTTTAAGTGCAAATGAGCAAGTAAAATTTGAAGATTTACAATAAAAGTTTATGGATTTACAACCCAAATTTGTTAAACACAAGAGAATTCACAACCCAAAATGTAAGTGTTTGAGTGTAAGTGAACAAGTGAAATTAGACGATTTACAAGTGGAATTTAGAAATTTACAACAAAAATTAGGCAATTTACAAATAACATAATAGAAGTCATAACCCCAAATGCAAGTGTTTAAGTGCAAATGAGCAAGTGAAATTGTCGAATTTCACTTGCAAATCTATAAACTTTTGTTGTAAATCTTCAAATTTTATTTGCTCATTTACACTTAAACACTTGTATTTGGGATTATGAGTTCCATTATGTTATTTGTAAATTGCCTAATTTTTGTTGTAAATTTCTAAATTCCACTTGTAAATCATCTAATTTCACTTGTTCACTTACACTCAAACACTTACATTTTGGATTGTGAATTCTCTTGTGTTTACCAAATTTGGGTTGTAAATCCATAAACTTTTATTGTAAATCTTCAAATTTTACTTGCTCATTTGCACATAAACACTTGCATTTTGGGTTATGACTTATATTATGTTATTTGTAAATTGCCTAACTTTTGTTGCAAATTTCTGAATTCCACTTGTAAATCGTCTAATTTCACTTGTTCACTTACATTTGGACTGTTGCGTTTATTTTGTTATATGTAGTTTTATTTGCATTTTATGATTGAATGGGTTGCTTGGCTTGGTGGTTACAACTCTTTTGGTGTGTCAAGGGGTCCTGGGTTCAAACCCTCCCTTGACCACTTTGTTTTAAACAAAAAAACTCCGGCCACCGGAAGTCCCGCCGGAGTTACTGTTCCGGCCACCGGTGACCGGATCCCGACGGCGGCCACCTGAGCGCCGGTGGCCGGACCTCCGACCTCCGGTGGCCGGAACAGTAACTCCGGTAAATATTTATTTTTTAATAAAATAAAAGGGGAGGGGTATTATTGTAATCTCACTCTAAAAATTAATATCAGATTGGTCCCTTGGTCCTGCAGTGAGGTTTCAGAAAGTTTTGGGGGCTCTTTGATATTAATTGTCTTCTACGGTCCTACAGTGAAATTTTCCCTTTTTAAATTCATCCACATCAATTTATCATTTAGCAATTTTCAATATACTTTATTGTCTTTTTCCCTTGTTTCTTTCAATATCTCTAAATATCCAGTCTTGCCATTCCAAGCATAAACAAATTAGGGGCAGCGGAAGCCTCTTGTTCTGTGATTTTTTTTTTCCTTATGCATGAGGCCACATACCACAGATTACCAGCCATTACTTCGTAACAAATTTAACCTAGAAAGAATAAATTTAACAATAGGACAAAACAGGGAATCAGCACTAACCATTCTCTTAAACAGAACGACCGTACGATAATAACAATGATCTAGGTCCCATCGCTGGGAAGTCTCCCGAGGAAAGGATCCACGTTTGTTCCAAACAGCTAATCAAGTTTCAATTGCACCAGTTACAAAGATATCCGTAATATAACATCATCCATAGTCATAACAGTGGTTGGAAACAGAACAAACACCGCACTTAGTATCGAGGCACCACAACCATTCGAATGGAGTTTAGAACGTAGACCCATTCCACCCAAAGTTTGAACCCTGCAAAGCAAGAAAAGCAGAGTTACCGCCGTGTTGCAGTAATTCATGGCTATAAAAGTGGAGATAGGGTATGCTTGGCAGTTGGGAGGAGAAGGAAAGGGAAGAAAATCCAACCAAAATGGAACGTGAAGCAATAATTAAGTGATAACGTCCTCCCCCTTGTTTGGGGATATTCTCTCCTTCAGAATCCTCCAAATTAGGGGGACTTGAAATTGAAAAGGAAGAGCACTGGAAGGTTAGTTTGAAAACATTAACTAGCCTCACCTCCATTAATAACCCCAAACAAGAGTAAAATTTAATAAAACTTCTCTTCTCCTCCGTTATTCTTCATCCAAACATACCCTTGAGAAAAGGGCTGGGCGTTCTGAGAGTTACGTCTACGGGAAAAGGTTGGATTTTTAAGTACAGCTAACAAGAGCTACGATAATAGTGTTGGACAGCAAGGATTTATTTACATGATCTAGTGCTGGTGTAAAGCATGCAAACACTGTGCATATTCTTGACTTTGATGGTCCTAAACAAAAAGGAAGAATGCAATAAGAAAAAAGTGCAGCGCAGGTCAGTGACCCTTCAGGATAACTTGGAACTTCAAATACTTGCCTTTGTATCATAGAATTTCAAGAAGAATCGCGATTTGGGCACAGATAACTTGGTTTCGAGAATTGATGCAATTGCAGCACTAAGTTTCTTGTTCACATCAGGGTTAAGACCGCCAATGGACACCAATTCACCATAGGCTGCAGGCTGCTCAGTCCCACCAAAAGACATGGGAATTGATCCTTTCAGTACAATCATTACATACTGCAAACCGGGGAAAAAAGGATTAAAGGCTAATCAAGTCAAAGAAATAACATACTATAGCTCAGCAGAAATACCGTACTTATTTTATATTTTAAGAGCCACATCAATGTCATGCTACTTATCTACAACACGGTTCCAGCAAGCATCCTTTTTGAGTAAAAGGGGAATTTCATTCCTGAATGATGATTACAAAACAGCCACGATGCCAACAAAAACCATGCTAACCAATCGTGTGTACAACTTTACATGGAGGAAATGCACAATTAAAGGAAATGAGTCAGGTGATTCCCTTTTTCAGAAGGCTGGCCAAATACTTGACTTCGGCAGTGTGGTCTGAGACAGCCAAGGCCACACCAATAAGACTCATTAAGATGAGCATGGATTGATTAGCAGATGCAGAGAAGTAATCACTACGTATATTGCATAATAGTACAACATAGGTCAGATGGCCAGCAAGTCATTAAGGAAACCTCAAAGAGTAACTCATGAGTTTTGTTCACCAATTAATGCTTAGAAATAATGAATTTGCTCAAACTAATCTGATTCAGGCATTAGTTCCCCTTCTCAGAGGATAGTAGCGTAACACCAGCACAGCTGTAAATTCATTGGAAAGGAACTACATTGATTCATTAAAAGTTCAAAATAAAGAGAAGTTGAGAACAACTTTATGAATGATAGCACTCATAAAACAAACCAAGACTCGCTATCACCCCATCCTTCCAAATAAATAATTGAGTAAACCATTTCCACCTCATTCAGAGCCTGCAAAAGAGGCCTTGATGCCCCAAATTAACTTAATGATAGTATAAAACTGCTTCCATGGATTACATAGTGAGAATATGACATAGATTCAGCGACGTGAGTTGTCAACATAATTATCTGTTGCAAGCTAACACAATCAAATACCATGGCCAAGAACTTGAGTGGTAAGCTGACAGCTAAACTAGGAGGTAGATATTATTCTCTTGAAGCCTGATATAACAAGAGGCAGAGGACCAGAAAGATACTTGTAATCTACGAACCTCAAAATTTCACTGATTCCCTTGCAATCTAATTATAAGTATTTAAATAAATCGGTAAGAAGACAATTCAGCTATACAGAATTATCCAAGACTTGAATTGCAACCGAACCCACGTCAATATTCTGAAGAAATGAGTATGCCAATGACCCTCTATAACGATATCTGGACATAAATCTCAGGTTTCAGATTAGGAGGAAAACTACGCGCAATTCTTACGGGGCTGTTATCATTATGTCCTGTTGAATCAAGAGATATAAAGAAACCTTTATTACAGAGTTAACAGCTCGATGAAAACTTGATAACAAATACTGAAGAAACTTCACTTAAATATTGTCATAGAGGCTCTGGCGTCATTCGCCAGACTAGTCATTTCCTGATTCCACAAGTAGCCCCCCACTGAACGACTCTATAGTTGTTGGACGATAGGAATCGGTTTAAGGTTAGAATCTAACAAGATATACGAAGAAATATGAACTTAAGAAACTCCGAATAAAACAGTAAAAGAAAAAGAGAAGAATAGAAGTACTGAAAAACTGAAAGACCAAAAGCAGTATAAACTTCTGGCGTCATTCAGAAGAAGTAGAAACAAAGTAAAAAAATACAGAAAGAGCGAAAGAAGGGCCGAATTTCCTTACAGACTCAGGTTTGCCGATGAGCTTGGCGACGGTGGAGGTGGCTTCAGAGAGGATGGAAGAAGTGTCGACGCCATCGAGGTTGACGTTCGTGGAGAGGTTAAGGCAAGGCATCTTCTCTTCCTGATCACTCAATTCTGAAACCCTTCTGTTTTGTTTGGGAATGGAGAGAAAGGGGAAATAAATTGACGGGAGTGGTGGGCATTGGGGGAACCCCTCCCGTGACTCGGGCGCAGTGGCTTTGAAATGCTTCAATTATGACCGTAAGATCTATCTGATGATTAGGAAGAGACCGGCGAGCAATTTTTTTGGGAAAATGACATTAAGGTCCCATGGAGAACAAAATCATCAAATAGGTCCCCTGAAATCTCATAATTTTTCTGAAGTCCCAAAGGGACCTCAGTGCAATTTTCAAAATCCACAAATTACTGTCTTACCCTGCCCCTGCCATCAGAAACAAACCGGGAGAAGTTCATTTGGTTGAGGAGTTCTTGCGCAATATGCTTGAGAGAGAAGACATAGGGAAAAAGGAAAGGAGCTATTGATGATGAAATATCTTCTCCATTACCATTAGTGAACTCCAAAAAGCTTCCATATGAATCTCCACAAATGTTCAGGTGTGGAACTTTTTTTTCTCTCCTCTCCTACCTTTCTTGACAGATTGTGCATTTGTTTGGGAATGGAAAATCAGAAAATCGTTTTTGTCTTTTTGGGTTGCTTGTGGGTGGTTTTGGAAATGGGATCCACAAGTTAATCAATAGAAAAGCTTTGTTTTTGGTTGGTGTGTGTTAGTGATTTAAGTTGGGTGTGTAAGATGATCATGGGTGCTCTGTTTTTGGATTGCTTGTGAGTGGTTTTGCTCTGTTTTGATGTTAGTTCAGTGGCAAAGGAAGAAGAAGATGAAGGTTAGTATGGGTGAAAACCCTTAAGACGAAATGGGATATTGTGTTGTCAATCAGGCCGCAATAGTTGTCAATGTGTGCCGTGACACTTGTCAATGTAGCTCCTTAAGTTGTCAATGACAGTTGCGTGCTTCTTGATGCAGGTTTAAGTTACTGATGGCGAGTACGTCTGGAAAACATCTATTTTGCTTTGTTCACATAGGGGGAAGTTTATAAATGATGGAGAAGGTGATATGAGATATGTGGAAGGTAGTGTAAGAATAACCAATGTAAAGGAGGGCACAAGTTATGAAGAATTGAAGGAAATTATATCATCCATTGCTGGAAAAGAAAGCAACTCATTTCTTCTGAAATTCTTAGTTGTGTGAAGGGAATTTTTTGTAAATGGATACACACCAATACTTAGTTTTGTAATTATATACAACCACTATGTTTTTTTTGGGGATGGATTGTGAAATAGGTGTAATTTTAAGTATATGAAGGTATAAATGAAAGTTGGCTATGAATTGGTATATTAGATTCTACAATCATTTCAGTTGTCATTACCTGCACCCTGTATTGTCATTAGACTTGTTATGACTTGTCAATAGAGCACTGTGACTTGTCAATTAATTTGCTGATATAAGTTGTCAACAATATGAATTCAAGTTACTTAACCTGTTTTAGTATCATATGATATTTTCAATCACTTTATCATATTATATTTTAGTTATATTGTCATATATAATTATTATTAATAAAGTGTCAATGGTGACACTATGACTTATCAATGGTCGCACTGTGAATGGTAGTACTATGACTTGTCAATAGTGGCACTATAACTTATCAATAGTGGCACACTGACTTATCAATGATAGCACTGTGAGACGCCGCGACGAATTATCAGTTGTCAATGGTGGCACACTGACTTGTCAGTGGTGGCATTATCACTTGTCAATAGTGACATTATGACTTGTTAATGGTGGCACACTGACTTGTCAATGGTAACACTGTCACTTGTTGTTCATCGAATAACTTCTTAAAAGGGTTGGGTGCCACGGCGGATATGATCAAGAGCCGCGGCGCCTTACACAGAATGACAGCTCCTTGGAACATATAGAGGAGCCGTGACGGATATGGTCAGACGCCGCGGTGAATTATTAGTTGTCAATGGTGGCACACTGACTTGTCAATGGGGGCATTATGACTTGTCAATGGTGGCATTGTGACTTGCCAATGGAGCACTGTGACTTGTTAATGAAGGCATTGTCCCTTATCAATTGAATATAAATTTGAGTAACACCTTCTTCTTAATAATTATATTTTAATGCAAATATTACTTAACATTATAAATAAATGACATGTTCAGTTGTAAAAATTTTGAATATCAATCATTAATATTCATACATTTATTTGTTATGAAATTGTTAATATCACTTGTCATTAACTCCTGTTATATTAATTGTTATTTTGGATAACTCAGGTTGTTAATTTCTACGCTGAGTGCTGTTGAGCCATATAGAACTGAGAATTTCAAAAGAAATGAGTTACTTTCTTCTCCAGTAATTGATGATATAATTTCCTTCAATTCTTCATAACTTGTGCCCTCCTTTACATTGGTTGTTCTTACACTACCTCCCACATATCTCATATCATCTTTTCCATCATTTATAAACTTTCTCTTATGGGAACAAAGCAAAATAGATATTTTCCAAACGTACTCGCCATCGGTAACTTAAACCTGCATCAAGAAGCACGCAACTGTCATTGACAACTTAAGGAGCTACATTGACAAGTGTCGCGGCACACATTGACAACTACTGCGGCCTGATTGACAACACAATATCTCATTTCGTCCTAAGGGTTTTCACCTACACTAACCTTCATCTTCTTCTTCCTTTGCCATTGAACTAACATCAAAACAGAGCAAAACCACCCACAAGCAACCCAAAAACAGAACACCCATGATCATCCTACACACCCAACTTAAATCACTAACACACACCAACCAAAAACACAGTTTTTCTATTGATTAACTTGTGAATCCCATTTCCAAAACCACCCACAAGCAACCTAAAAAGACAAAAATGATTTTCTGATTTTCTATTCCTAAACAAATGCACAATTTGTCAAGAAAGGTAGGAGAGGAGAGGAAAGAAAGTTCCACACCTGAACATTTGTGGAGATTCACATAGAAGTTCTTTGGAGTTCACTAATGGTAATGGAGAAGATATTTCATCCTCAATGGCTCCTTCCCTCTTTCCCTATGTCTTCTCTCTCAAGTATATTGCGCAGGAACTCCTCACCCAAATGAACTTCTCCTGGTTTGTTTCTGATGGCAGGGGCAGGGCAAGATAGTAATTTGTGGATTCTGAAAATTGCACTGAGGTCCCTTTGGGACTTCAGAAAAATTATGAGATTGCAGGGGACCTATTTGATGTATTTTCTTCTCCATGGGACCTTAATGTCATTTTCCCTTTTTTTTCCCTGCTGAAAAAAGGACGTGGCCATGTCACTGATACGAAACAGTGCGCGGCACCTTTGTTTATAGGGTTAAAGTGTAATTTTAACAACAAAGTTTACCTCAAAAGACACTGGACACCATAATGTTTATTTGGGTATCAAAACATACATAAAATTGTCAAAAGGGGGTATTTGGCACCAAGCCGTTAACGTCTGTTAGTTTACTATCAAAGATGCCCACAAAATCAGTTTTGAGGTGTATTTTTAACAACAAAGTTTACATCAAGGGACGCTAGGCACCATAAAGTTTACTTGGATGCAAAACTATACATAAACTTTTTAAAAAGAGAAAAAAATAACAAAATTCTTCAATTCCCATAAATGTTCATTAATTTTATTCTTTTGGGTCCCACTAAATTCTTTTCATTAATTTTCACTTTTAAATTGATTTATCTTTCTTTCATTATAGTCAACACGCACACTCTTTTTGTCATGTCGTTTTCTTATCCTCTAAGCTTTTTATATGTATTTACGTAAAACAATGCATTTCCCTTCTAGGACATGAGGTTCATCGCTTGCATCCAAGTACTACCTCTAATCCTTACTATACGACGTAATAAATTAATTTGAGGAGATTAAAAAAATTAAATAAATTACTTTAAAGTATTATATTTATCGTTTTTCTCTAAATTAACTTGCTTCACTTATAAACTAATATATAATCAAATGATGTATATAAATATTTTAGAGAGATCATTTACTATATGTTATATTTAAATAATTGTTTTACTTCTTTAAATTTTTTCAAAGAGGAAGTAGAAATGAGTAGAGAGAAAAAGTGATATTTAGTAGGACCCAAAAAAATAAAATTAATAGACGTTTATGGGAGTTGGAGAATTTTGTTATCTTTTTTTCTTGTAAAAAAGTCATGTATATTTTTGCACCCGAGTAAACTTTATAGTGCCTAATGCCCCATTGATGTAAACATTGTTGTTAAAAATGTATTTTAAAAGTGACTTCGTGGGCCCTTCTAACGGTAAAGTAACGAATGTTAATGGGGTGGTGCCAGATGCCTCCTTTTGATAGCTTCATGTATATTTTTACACCTAAATAAATATTATGGTGCTCAGTGTCTCTTAGGGTAAACTTTATTGTTAAAATTACACCTTAACCTTTGTTTTTATTACCTCTTTTCTTTTTTTAAATTTAGCCCATTCTCTTAAATCCAATTCTCTTTGGTTTATATTAGCTCTTTTTGTTTGTTTATATATACTGGATTAAGGTGTAAATTTGTTCTAAAATATTTTACTTAGGAATGTATGGTATTCAAAAAAAATTTTGAGAGCAAATTTCTCCCGAAAATTTAAAATCATAACAACATTACTCTGTACTGTTAAAAATATCAACGGTCAGCATTACTATTTTAATGATCAACGTTAATTTTTTTTACGATAGAGAACAATATTGTCACAATTTTAAATTTTCAAAACAAATTTGCTTTTAAAAAAATTTCTGAATACTCAACATTGCTGAATGAAAACTTTTAAAACAAAGTTGCAAGCATAACCCTGTATCTATATGTGTGTGTCTATATAAATATATATATATATATATATATATTACCTCTTCTCGGCGTCGTTTTCTACAGACTTTTCATCTTCTTGATCCTCCCTTGCGGACTTGTGGTGCCGTTTTCTCCACCCTCTACAACAATTGGGAATTCGTTGTTAATGTCCATTTAGTGGTAGGCCATATCTAAATATAAGAATTATTAATGGATGGATTTTATATCTAGGATCAGATGTCGTATATGATTTTTATATTAAAAATTTATTTTGCATGTTAAAAAATCTAATCTCGTAAAGCGTGGAACTATTTGAAAAAATTGCTATATGAATGTATTTTTAATTAAAAAGGAAGACAGTAAAGAAGTAGATTTGCCATTTTCTTGGCAGGAATATTTCCAACTCTTTCATTCTCAAAACCTTTCATTTCATCGCCCTAATTTCTAGTGTTCCCAAGTCCTCTTAACAATATCTACAAAGTTTTCTTCGACTCGACATCTGAAAATTCTTTTTCTGAAAATCCGAAATCCTTTCCTCAAGAAACCATTAATGGAAATTAACAAAATCCACAAAGTTCCGGCTAGCCGGCCTCATGTTATCTTTGGGCTGCTTTTTATTTTCTGGGCTTAAAACTCAGTCTCAAACAGATTGTGGGGAACCAAGAGAGAACCCCTTTCTTGCTATTTTGCGATTGGTCAATTTTCTTTTATTGTGAGATGTTATCGAAATTTATAAGGAAGAATTATCAAGAGTCTTAAAAAAAAATTATTTATCAAAAAGTCTCAATGACAAGTAACTAGCTTGAACATATTGTCATTCTCTACTTTAGAACTTATCATTACTTACTCTTCACTTGTCGATAGAGTTTAAGATAATTAAATCTCTTCTTTGAGACCTGATTCTCCCTGTTTATAAACATTAGCAAGCGCAAAATGATTTGAAGATAAATAACTCACTTTCTTAGAAAGTGAACCAATATCAGAATGGTTGCCGGTTCCGATCCCTTGCATCATTTTCCAATCCTGGTTGAAAGAGACTTGAAAAGATTTGCACAGAGATGGACATGGTGAGCTTTACAAAAGGTATAATTGTGCTATTAAATGTGATTTGGAGGAAAAGGAACCGAATCACTCACCAAAAGTATTAGCTATCTTTTTGTCTTTCTTTAGTTTGTCAAAAGTATTAGTGACTCCTATCCTATGATAGATTTTAGTCATATTTTACTGTTAAATTCTTGTCCTTGCTTTTCTGCTTATGTTACCTGATCTGTTATTTCTGATATTTTATCATGCATTTTGCTTTTCATTAAAAAAATTGATATACCCATTATTTTTCCCTTCGAGTTGGATATTATCATTTATAAAACTAAATTAAAAGACTCCAATTACAGGAATTGTTTTTCACGATATCAAAACATATTAGTCCAAAGTCCAAACATTAACTATTTAATTCACCTGCCATGCTCATTTGACGCGGTACGAATTTGAATTCAAAAAAGCAAGATAGTTAGAGGATTTTTTTTTTATATGACTGTCTAATTGAGTTAAATTCGAGCATTGTCAGGTCCAATTGAAAATAATTCTTTCAAAAAAGTTTTTAGAAGTGTTACTTCCGCTTAAATTTAACAATAGTCTAACTTACCTATATAACCATGTAAAAGAAGGATACTATTTTAATTCTTAATTATCCATTTCCAATTACATGAACACTTAAACCTTTTTTTTTTTTTGGGTTGGCCAGAACTCATACACTTGCATATTGCACAAATCAAAACTGATTATTTCATTAATTAATTGATGAGGAAAGTCAAGCCCTAATTGAAAATTGCCAACAAAAAGCATTCCATTCATCCTTATCCCATGCACTAAAATATACAAATGCCACACTCTTCAGTCAAATTTGGTACAAGTCAACCATAAAATGTCATCATTCCTAAACCAAGATCTAGCTTTTCTCATCTTTTTCTTGATTAAATTTAGATGGTTTGAATTTAATATTTAGAAAAATAATTACAAAATTGTAAATTGTTAGCATATATTAATAAATTTAATATATTAAAATTTAATCTTGACCATCCAAAGATTATAGATGAATGAGGAGGAATGAAGAAACTGGATTAAGTTTTTTTTTTCCAGTTAAAATGTCATTTTCAAAAGAAAGATATTACATTTATTTGCTCTTATTAAAAATAATAAATTAAATTACAATAGAAGTATTCGTAAACGAGAAACATGAAATATACCAACTTTCAAATGCATTTTCGGCTGCCCCATCATTAGTCAATGGTCTCCACCTATATTCCTTTTTTTTTTTGGGCCAACGGCTATATTCGTCGTAATTATTCCAAGTATATAAATTTAAATTCCCCATATTTAATTTTACAGATATATATATAATAGTATCTATTTATTTTTTTTCATCATATTATAGTATATGCTTATTAATTATATCAAATGTATTGCGTGTGTTTGAAGATAAGGAAAAAGGTTAAAAGATTTCAGATCATTTAAAATGAAAACAACTATAAATTTACAAATCTCAATTACAAATAAAGGACTTAAATTTAAACGTAACTTTAATTTATAATTGAGATTTTTGTTTATATAAGTATGAGGTATCCTCCCTTTGAGCTCTTGCTATGAAGTGTTTTTGATCTGTATGTATAAATAAAAAGTTAGTTACCTAATTAAAATGATACTACAAAAGTATGTCAAGGGGTGAAATGATCCAACTATTAGAAAATTTTATAAAACCCTTTATATTATGTGAAAGTAGAGGGAAGGAGTATACACTCACCTTTTACATGGGATATGTGTTTGATAATTGATTTGAAGTTGTAGAAGGGGAAAGACGCATCAAAATGCCTAACGCACGCTCTCCCTATATGTATGCAATGTTTCCGATGCACAATATAAGTTATTTTCACAAAATTTTCTTGATCTATTATAATATAAGTCACTTGAAGAGTAATTAGTACTTATTTATTAATTTTGCCCATTCAATTAATGCTTTAATATGATTTCTTGTGTTTTTTCCCCTCATCATAACCTCATTTAACAGGGGTAAAATTAAAAATGATTTTAAATTGAAGACAAACTTAATAAGTTGATTACTATTTGTTAATTTGAAGTTGTGACTTACATTTTGGTGGGGGCATAGTGGGAGTCTTCAGTCTTTCACTTGACTTTGGAAGCAAACATAATCATTATTGGACGTGAAATTCCTAGTTAGGGTACACAAATAGGGAGGCATTTGCCTAACTTCGCATTTCAAGAATCATATATTCCGATCACTCTTTATTCCTCATACATATTTCATAACTACTCCACCCAATCATTGCAAAACGACAAACTTCCTTCATTCTTTTGTGTACGGTAATAAAAATAGGGAGAATTACATTCAAGTCTCACAAAAGAAAAATAATCACTAAAAAGTCCCAATAATAACCTGAGCAGCCTGTAATAACAAGTTTTACAGTGAGAATGATAACTTCTGGGACTTGTTTTTCAATTGTTTTTCCTGCTTGGGACCTCATTGTAATTCTTCCATAAAAATATAATCCCCATTCTTCTCCGGGAATTCATTTTGTGATTTATATATTAAAAAACATAATTAACATATTTAATACTAATATGCATCGATCTTAGGCTTTTAATTGTAACTCAATACTACTAGATTGATGCTCTATGAGTCGGGTGATGGGCGAATCAAACAAGTGAGTTCATTGAGTAGAGGCCTAACTTGCAAGCCTTTATGGGTAAATTTGTTCCTTATCACTATAATAAATCAGAGATTATGATGTATTGTTAATTAATAATTCATAATTTAATTATGAGTGCGCCTGTTTTTTTTTCCTTTTTTTTTTGAGAAGGTTATTGTTTAGATCAACTTGTTTTTAAACATTTTACATTTTATAAGGTAGACATGTGAGAAAAATTTTGTCATTGTTCAGCATTCTACACACATGCTCTCATTCTCTCTGTATACTTCCTTTGATCCTAATTATAAGATCTTGTTTATAGATTACAAATAAAATTTTATAATTAGAATTGGAGGTAGTATTTTCTAAATCAACCAAAGAGAGTACCTATTTCCATATTCTTGATTACTACGGGATTTTTTTAATTTAAGGGCAAGTGCACCCTACAAACTTATATATATATATATATAATTATAAAGGTTAATATCATGTTTAGTCACTAAAATTTAATCTTATTTTAATTTTGGCACCTAAAATCTAATTTCCTTTTGGTTTTGATTCTAGAAATTTGAAACTAGTGATTTTGGTTTCTCAAATTTGATTTCATCTTTATCCACCTAAAGATTTTTGCACTTTGGGCAATAAAAACTAAAATAAAGTAAAATTTCATAGAACAAAACCACTTATTTCAAATTTCAAGAATCAGAAACAATGGTTCTAAATTTCAGAGACCAAAACTGAAATAAAGTCACATTTGAGAGATTAAAGATAATATCAATTCTAATTATAATAACTTATTGGGAGAAACATAATAATAATTATTATTACTTAATCGGACCCAGGGGTACACTATTAATGAGCGTGGCCATGAGAGGCGGATGATCTCCAAAAATGTGGCGGAGAAATTGAAAGGGATCAGTGTTATTACATTCACTCATAGTTTGGGGGAGGGGTTGAGACGGCGGAAGGCGGTGGTGTCAAAGACCTTGAGGAAGAATCTGGTTCTGGGGACGGAGAGCCTGGATTGGAGAATGGAGCCGATGGAGGCAATGAGCTTCTTCTTCACCTGTGAGTCTATGCCTCCCATCGACACTATCTCTGCGTACGCCGCCGGCTCCTTGTTCCCTTCAAATGATATCGCCACCGACCCCTTCACTATCACCATCACATACTGCACCCACCACCCACATCCAACCAACTATTTCAAACTCACATTAAATGGTACCACTAGCTAATTTAAATTAACATAATATTGCTTTCAATTCTAAGAAAATTAGCTAAATAAGTTAGTTATTTGCAGTAAATATGTGATGCTTTATTAATCATGTGTATTAGAACGATTTTTATTATCACAATAGAGATTTACTTGGGGAGAAAACAGATAAATATGAGAGACAAAATAGATTAGGAGATCTTATATTACTTCCGGTCTTGAATATAATGGCTAGTTAACTAATTTGAGTAGATTAAAAAAATAAGTTAAGTTAGTTATTTGTAATAAATAAGCACTATCTTTTCTAAAATATCTTTACTAATCATGGCTAGAACTACTATTATTGGAAGAACTACCTTAAAAAAAAAGTACAAATATGAAAGACAAAATGAATCGAGATTTATATTTAAGATCAAAATAAAAGTTAAGTGAGTTCCTATATTAAAGATCAGAAGTAGTATTTAGGATCAAATTGGAATTTTAACTAGCTATTATGTTAAACACATGGGATACGAAATCATATAACCCCATGAAAGTGAAAGGGAATAGGGAGAACAGTGGTGGGGGCTGGCTCCTCATCAAATGCAATTTGCTGTGGCCTGTGGGGAGCCAGGTGCGTTGTTTTCACTTTTCAGATTTCACTTTCGTTCGTCCTCTGCCAGTTTTCATGTTTCATATGAAATGGCAAACAGAAGCATCCATAATACCCACTTTACCACCTTGGACCATTCACACCACTTTTTTCATCTTTGCTCCACTCCTCACTTTGCCCTCCATTATTAGATCACATCACACACGGACGCTACTGACAGGTTACATTCTTTTCAGATGCTAACTGGTTTCATACTTGAAGATTTATTGTAAGGTTTAAAAAAAAAAACACATTCACTAATAAGTTCAATAATAATTAAATAAGTAGCTCATAATGATAAATTCTAATATGAAACTTTATAATAATTCTTTTAATGATCAAAAAAATTATTAAATAATATACATTACAGTAAAATTTGATATTATTAGACTAAAATGCTCTTATAAACTATTATTTAATTAATTTATGTTTATATTTATAATTTAATCATTTAATTATCTTTATCATTGGTTTCCAATTTATAATTTGGATTTTCATATTTATAATTGTCTAAATTTTTTTTTTCACTACCTCACACTAAAAGAAAATCTTAAAAAAGATGGTTAAGGTCACTTGATGGCTTACAAGACCCCAATTCCCTAAATTAATATTTATAATTTAGCTTTTAAACAAATTTCTTGGAGATCCAATTATCATTTCCCTTTTCTTTTTTTGTTGGCTAGGATCCCTTTACTTACTCAATACTTAATCTGATATATTTGTCAGATGAAGTTTCCATCCAATCATTAAACTAAAAATCCAACACGTTGACCTCAAAACACCAGGCAATCATACACATGGACATTGGATTTATGAACTCTGCTAATATGAGTAAATATACTACCTTATAAATTTACAATTATGTTGGGATATTTATATTACACTGTATAAGTTTACACATTAACTCTGCCCATACATTAAAATGATATATATATATATATATATGACTAATCAAACATTGAAAAATAAATTAGCTATGATTAAAATTTAAAATTCTTATCCATATTTCATCATTTTGAAGGGGACAGAGAGTTGATTGCCAGGTTCTTTTTGCAACCTTTAGCAGTATGGTCCTAGAACCACATAGTTTTTTCAAAAAATAAATAAATAAACAAACAAATTTTTGTCATTTTGAGATCTCTCTGTTAATCATACAGAGACAGAAACTTATGGGCTCCAAGAACCTCAGACACGCAATTATTTTTTTTCCCTAAATCCATAAATATATATATTTAAGAGGGAAACAAAAAAGAAATAATAAGTGTAAAAAATGAAAACGAAGTTTTATTTATAAGTTATCTTCTTAAATGGAGTTTTATATAAATATATATGATATATTATTTTACATGAAGTTTTGTTTTATAAATTATCTTTTTAAAATTAACTCACAAACATCCAATAACTAGAGATAATTGTTAAAAATGAAGCCTATTCTAATTTCACACTATCCAGATAAGTTGGACTTTGATAAGAAGATTCCAAGTCGAAACAGAAGCAAGCTCGAATCCCAATGAACTAAGCGCACAAGAAACACCGGAAAATTAACAACAGAAGCGCAAGATGAATCTGCGACGAACCAGATAAGAAAGCAAACACACAGATATATCATCCAAATATATAAAGAAGGTTTTCGATGGATCCTTAAGATTGAATTACTGGAGTTCGAATCTGAAATCAAGTTGAAGGAAGTAGAGAAAAAACCATCCAGAGGGGAGAGAGAGATAGAGAGAGAGAGAGAAATACTTTTGGGGGCTTTCCGATAATGGAGGAGACGGCAGAAGTGGCTTCGGAGAAGATGGGATCGATGTCGATTCCGTCCAAGTTAACGTTGGTGGAGATGTAAAGGCAAGGCATCGTTCTCTTCTTCTTCTTCTTCCTCCTCTGATTCTTCTGATTCTGCGTACCGTAAGAATGAAGAAGGGCGAAGATGAGGATTGAAGGAAGCAAGTGGGAAGCGCAAGTGAGTTTGATTCAGGGCAATCCCACCTTCTTGTGGACTGGTTTATATAAAGCCAATTCTGGGCTTTTACTGTTTTGACCATCTCCCCTTCCTTCCCATTTCATGATTGGTTGGTGAAAAAACCTTGGAATTCCACCTTCCCCACTCTCTCTCCCTTCCCACTCCCTTCCCCCCACCTTTTTATTACAAAAATAATAGGGAATATTTTTTTTAATTATTAATTAATTTTTATAATCTTAGCTCAGTTGTATCAATTCTTCAATTTTAATTCATTATAACTCAATCCCGATAATTTTAACTATTTAAAAATTTATTCCCTAAGCTTCATAAAATATATAATTTTATTTTAAAAAATATAGGAACTAATGCTTTTAATGTTTAAACTCTAGAAACTGAATTTTACGTACTTAAAATTTAAGAATTGGAGTATAACTAAGTTAAAGTTATAGAAATTAAATTGTATTGAGATAAAGTTTATGAATTGAATTATAATTGAGTCAGAATTATTAGAGGTAAATGATTAATTTTCTCAAAATAACATTAAATACAGTTTTTCTTAGGAGGGCTAATATTTTTTAGACAAAAAATATTGATTATAGTCACGAATAAATACCTTTTTATTTATGCATTAAAATATAACTCATTTGTGAATTTAATATCAAGTGCACGAATAATCACTTATTGAGGAACGGGAATAGGATTCCAACCTTTCCACTGTTTGGTTGAATGATTGCAGCACCATTCCATTCCATCATTTTGATGACACGCGAATTCCATCCCCAAATTGACCGCATCAATAATCATCCACGTTTCAGGAAAGCACCTTTTCAATTACGAAAATTACTCAAGTCAAAACAAAATTACCAAAATACTCTTCTGCCACTTGAATGTTTTCCCCAAAAAAAAATTCAAAAGATAAAATAAAAAAATGAATATATGAAAATTCTTAACAATAGAAATTTTATCTTAAGTATTTTAATATATTTTTAATGCTTTATTTGATCTAGGGGTAATATTGTCCAATCAAATACAAAATATTTATTTCTTTTTATGGCACACTCAACTTATTTATTTTATTCCATTAAATGCCATTCACAATCACACTCTTATTTTACTTGTATGCTAATAATAGTAGTGTTACGCTGTTGCTTTAGTAGTAGTACTGTGCAATCGTACAGGCGTAAAGTATTCTGATTCCCATTACAAAAGTTGAAAAACCATGAACTACATAGTCACAAGGGCTTTCAAAACAGAGGTGAGAGGTCTCAAGTGTCTCATGGAACCCCTTATAAATGTACTATCTTCGGAACTTAACATATTAAATTAAAAAATGATATATAAAAAATTGAAAATTCTAATATTCCAATTCAGATATTTAAGAGATCAAAATTTCAGGGTAAGAAGTGATGCCTAATTTGTTACTTTGTAAATATAGTTAAATGACAAAAATGTTTTTGTATTAAAAAGTTTATTAACAGGTTGTGAGCTGACAATGACCAGTGTTGAACAGTAAATGATAAGAAATATACTGATAATTACAAGTTATTTATTAATAAATTGTAAATTGACAATAACAAGTATTGAATAAGTAATAACAAGAAATATACTGGTAATGACAAGTTTAATAGTTTTTTTAAGAAAATCTAATACAAGGGCAATTTAGTCATTTGACTCTATTTGCAAAATACCAGACCAGACACAACTTTTTTTTTCTGGGATTTAAACCTCTTAAGTGCCTGAATTAAAATATTACAATTTTCAACTTCTTTTTATGTCATTTTCCCTTAAATTAATTTTTTAAAAATACCTTTGCTAATAATGTGTATTAGTTAAAATTACTATTTGATAAAACCTTTAACACGTGTAATTATTACAAAAATTACATTAAAAATATATATAAATATGAAAGACAAAGTAAATTGTTTTGTACCTATGACCAAATTAAATTATAACCCGAAGTAATATATGTGAATAATGGATTATGATCTCCTAACAATAATTTAAAAGATAAAATATTTCGTCGTTAAAAAAATGACGTGGAGTTCACACATTTTTCTACCCCTTGTTTATAATTCTCTACCTACTTCCAGAATTATTTTTAGCCTTTTAGGAGACCTTTCCCAAATAATATATTTGAGTATTTCGGCCAAAAAAAAAGTAACACATTTGAGTATAAAAAAGGACTATTATATACTCCCATATATAGTCAAGGGTGTGGTCTTTTTGATAGGTTTATTTTAATTTTAAATGTAAAATCTCAACTTATTTTATTTTTTAAATTTATAGATTTTTAAAAAAATTCCATTAATTATGTATATATTAAGGAGATTTTTTTTGCCCAAGGAGCTTTTTTTTGCCCAAGGAGTTTTTTTTATTAAGAAAGTAATTTATAATACAAATAATTAAAATGGATACCTTATAAAAAAATTAACACATACTTTATTAAAAAAAATCGGCTTAATCATACTTTATAAAAAAAATCAGCTTAACTAATTTTTCATATTTTTACAAATTAATTATTAAACTCATATATTTAGGATCTAATATAGTACTGTCAATAATTAAAAAATATATGTGATGTGTATACCTACTGAATATGATGTGCATAAAAATGCAATACATAAGATCCACACCAAATTAAATGTAAATGTTTTTTCCGTTGGTGACTTATTAACTGTATGATTAGTATAATATAGACTTTGTTTAGCGAGGAGTGTGAAAGAAAACCCCATCATAAGCAAAGAGTCTCAACTCTCTCAGCCACCATTTTTCTTGTCTTTGTAAATCTAATCAAATAATACTTTCAATTTATAATACAAGTGTTAGACAACTAATTTAAAAAATTTTAAAAATTAGTTAAATTAATTATTTATAATAAATGTGTATTGATTTTTTAAAATTACCTTTATTTAATTATATACATTAAAACTATACTTTGGGCAGAAATACCTTATAATCAATAAAGATATTTTTAAGAACATATTATAAATTTAAAAGATAAAATGGATTGAAATTTTATATTTAAAACTGCCAACTAGTTTTTATATTTTGGATCAGAGATAGTAACTTATTAACTCTCATCAGTGTTTAATTTAGGAACGGGAATAGCATTCCAACCTTTCCACTGTTTGGTTGAATAATTGCTGCACCATTCCGTTCCATCATTTTGATGACATACGAATTCTATCCCCAAATTGACTGGTTCGAAACCTCTCTTTTTTCCTTCCCATCCTCTTCTCTCTCTTTTTTTTTAATTGTGAGATTAACATATTTTAATGATTTAGATTTTAATTTTTTATAAACTATTTCTAAAAAAATTTAAAAAACATTTAGTGCACTTACAAATCATTAAATTAAATTTTAATATAGTTTATAATTTATAATTCATTTATTTTTATAATTTACTATTTTAATAATAAACATCCACGTTTCAGGAAAGCACCTTTTCAGTTACGAAAATTAGTCAAGTCAAAACAAAATTACCAAAACACTCTTCTGGCACTTGAATGTTTTCAAAAAAATTCAAAAGATAAAATAAAAATGAATATATGAAAATTCTTAATAACAGAAAATTTATCTTGAGTATTTTAATATATTTGTATGCTTTATTTGATCTAGGGGTAATATTGTCCAATCAAATACAAAATGTCTATTTCATTTTGTGGCACACTCGACGTATTTATTTTATTCCATTAAACGCCATTCACAATCACACTTTTATTTTACTTGTATGCTAATAATAGTAGCGTTACTTTAGTAGTAGCACTGCACAATCGTACAGGCGTAAAGTATTCTGATTGCCATTACAAAAGTCGAAAAACTATGTAGTCACGAGGGCTTTCAAAACAGAAGTCTCAAAAGTCCTATCAAACCCCTTATAAATGTACCACTTTCGGTACTTAACATATTAAATTAATTATCTTTGCTGGTGAAAAAAATTAATTATTTATAATAAATAAATATTATTTTTTTAAAATATCTTTACTAATAATATGTATTAATTAAAATTACTATTTGATAAAAATTTTATATAAGTAATTACTGTAAGGATTACATTAAAAAAAATAAATATAACAGAAAAATGAATTATTTTATATTTATGACCAAATTGAATGTCAAACCAAGTTTATAAAAGAAGGTAATATCTGTTAATAATGGATTATGATCTCCTAACTAGTTTAAAAGATAAAATATTTAGTGGTTAAGAAAAGTAAAAATTGTAATAAAGTCTTATCCAAAATTAAATATAAAAAAGTCTCTTAAAATCATCAAATTATTTTGAAGTTTTAAAAGACCTCATTGCAAAAGATTTTATTTATTTAATTATTAAATTATCCTTTTTTTTAGTTTATATTGACAACTGAAAGAGCAGTAGCTACCAATTTAAGATATAACGATCAACAACTATCGTGATAAGTATTGGTAACAAATTTTCTTAATGCATCACAAAAATACAATCCATGTCTCCATGAGTTATCAATAGATATCGCAATAATTGTTAATCCGTACATCTTAAATTATTAACAATTATAATAAATTTTTCAGGTGGAACTTTATTATAATTTTTCCTTAAAAAATGACTCGGAGTGCACACACCTTTTTTTTTCCGTTGTTTATCATTCTCCACCTGCCTCCACAATTATTTTTAGCCTTTTGGGAGACCTTTCCCCCGCAACACTTTTTTTTTTTTTTGGAATGATCAAGTAACACACTAGAGCATAAACAAGAGCTATTACATACCATATATAGTCAAGGACTTGGTCTTTTTAATAGGTCTATTTTAATTTTAAATGTAAAATCTCAACTTAATTTATTTTTTAAGTTTATATATTCTTTTAAATTTTTTTTATCAATTATGTATATATTAAAGATTTTTTTGTGCAAAGAGTTTTTTATTAAAAGAGTAATTTACAATATAAATAATTAAAATGGATACTTTATAAAAAATTAATACATACTTTATAAATAATTAGCTTAACTAATTTTTTCAAATTTCTAAGAATTAATTATTAAACCCTTACGTTTAGGATCCAATATAGT